GGCTGCAGGTGAGGCTACAAAAGAGGGAGGGTTACAGTCAGGGTCGAGGGGGGCCGCAGGGCGCAACGGGGGGGATGTTTTGGGGGGAGATGCAATACGGGAACGGTTTCGGGGGGCTTGCAATCAGGGTCCGGGGGAGGGAGGGGGCTGCAGGGTGCAACGCGCAGGATGTTTCGGGTTGGGCTGCAATAGGGGCAGGCTGTGAGGGGCCGCAAGCTGCAGTCCGGGAGGGTTTGTGGGGCTGCGGGAGCGGTCCGGGGGTCGCTGGGGGAAGGATGGGGGGGGGGTCCGGGGGTCGCGGGGAGGGCGCAGGGACCCCGCAGCCCCCCCCGGCCCCGCGCATGCGCCGCGCACTCACCGCGCCGGGGGCTCCGCCGTGCGGGGCCGGCCCGCCCACCCCCCTCGCCTCCCATTGGCCGCGCCTCGGCTGCTCCTCCATTCCCATTGGCTGATCCGGCTGTCACTCACGCAGGGCGCGGCTTGGCTTTAAAGGGGCCGCGCGGAGCGCGTGGCGTCGCGCGAATTAATTGGGCGGTGCTGATTGCACACTGGTCGTCGCACGGTGCCCACTGCACTCCGTGATACCCATTACCCATGCTAATTAACTGCGCCGTGCTGATTGCCCGGTGGTTTCAGCCTCCCTGATTCCAGTGGGATGGCAGGGGACGAGGGGAGATGTCCCAAAGTGACCCTGATGGGATGGGGCGGGGGGATGCTGGTGGTGCCACTGGAACATCCCTGACCCCGATGGGATGGAGGGGGATGAAAGGGAGACCCCGAGACAGATACTGGTGGTGCCATAGGGTCACCCCTGACCCTGATGGGATGGTGGAAGACACCAGGGCAGGTACTGGTGATGCCACGGGATCATCCCTGACCCCAATGGGATGGAGGGGGGATGCTGCTAGTGCCACTGGATTGCCCCTGACTGTGATGGAACGGATGGGGGATGACAGGAGACCCCAAGGCAGTGCTGGTGGTAGCCCCAAAGCACCCCTGACCCCAGTGGTAAGGAGGGGGAATGAAGGCAGACCCCGAGGCAGCGCTGGTGGCGCCGGTGCCCCCGGCACACTGTGGACATTTTATTCCTCCAGCCCCGAGCCTTCCCGGGAGATCCTGGAGCGAAGCCCCGAGCGGGAGGCGCCCGCTCCCAGCTCCCTGGGGCTCCAGGCCCACGTCCAGCCCCCATCCCAGACTCGTCAGGGCGTCCTTCCAGCGTTCCACGGGCTCACTTGCAGCCCCGCAGGACCCCCAGCGCCTCCCGCACGGCCGAGAAGATCATCCCATCCAGCTGCAGGGGGTGCAAAGAGGGGGGGTCAGCACGGCTCACCCCACACCAGGACCCCCCCCCCACACACACACACACCCCCAGACCACCCACCTGGGCTGGGAGCTGGCGCGTGGCCCCGGTGGGATCGGGATCGGGGCTGAGCTGCCGGAGGCGGGTGCAGCTCTCCGGGGACAGGAACCGCTGCTCCACGCTGATGGTGCCCGTGAGGCTCTGCACCTGCACCAAGGTGGGGGGTCACTGCCTCGGTTCCCACACTAGGAGGGGGTTGTGTGGCACAACTGCCTCCCCTGGTGGGTTCGGGGCTGCCTACCTGGTGGGGAGCCCCCGAGGGGACCAGCACGGCGTCCCCCAGGCACTGCAGGAGGGTCCAGCCGCTCACCCCGCACTCCTCCCGCAGCCGCCTCCGCAGCGCCGCGTCCAGGTAACGCCCGGGGGGGTCCAGGGAGCACCCAGGGGGCTCCCCCGTTCTCCCCTCCTCCTGCCCCGGCTCCTCGGATACCTGTGGGGTGCCAGGGCTGAGCGGAGCTGGGAGAGGGGGCCGGAGCAGGACAAGGGATGCTCCAGTGGCACCGCAAGCACCCGTCTGGATTGTCCCCCTTCATCCCACCATGGTCAGGGATATTCCAAAGGCACCACGTGGGCAGCACGGGAGGGGGTGCCCTGGTCGCCCCCCCGGGACTCACCCTGCGCAGGAAATCCCGGATCTGCGCGGCGTCCTCGGCACGGAAGATGTGCCACAGTGCCCCGGGCCGGGCCCCCGCCGTGTCCTTGAGCCGCTCCCGCAGCGCCACGTCCATGTCACCCGTGTCGCCGGGCAGGAGCGCCTCTGCGGGTGTGGGGGGGGCGATCAGGGGGGAGGCCAGGCATGGGGGGTGGTGTGGGGGGACCCCCAGTGCTCCCCCCCGTACCCCGCGGTGCCGCCTCCGCGTGAACCAGGACGTTGATGGAATCGGCCGCTTCCACCGCCAGGTTTTTGGTCCCGACGTTCTGGTCCCGCGGGCGCACGCCTGGAAGTGGGAGTGGGGCGCTAGGTGAGTGTTGAGTGTCCCCGTGGCAGGGGGGGAGCCCAGGTGCCCCCCAGAGCCCCCATAGCAGACTCACCATAGGCTGCACAGACGCGCGGGCGCAGCCAGCGCCGGCCCCGCTGGCCCCGCAGGTGGGTGGCCAGGTTGAGGCGACCGCTGGCCCCGCAGTACTCGGGCAGGGGCAGGCTGGCACGCAGGTTGGTGACCCTGTGGCATGGCAGGGGGGGGTGTTTGCAGGGCACCAAGGTACAGGCAAGGGCAGAGCTGCCCCTCAGCCCCCAGCACTGGCGTGGGGAGGTCAGGGAGGGGGGGACACCCACCCTCTGCCACCACCTACCGGCTCAGCTCCATGTCCCCAAGGCCACTCTCCAGCTTCAGCAAGTCCCCACCGCCGTGTTCCCGCTCTGGGGATGCTGAGGGAGGGAGCCCAGCATCATGCACGGGGATGGATGGAGGGAGGAGGGCACAGCCTGGCTCCCCCTCACACCTCACCCCAAAATCAGCCCCCCAAACTCATCACCCTGCTCACCTGCACTGGCGGCAAAGCCATCCCAGAACTGCCGGCTGCTCAGGCGGACGCGGCTCACCGGTGCCCGCAGGTTCACCGCCTCCACCTCCTGCTCCCCCCGGGCTGGGCGGAACGACTCCGGCCCCCAGAGCCGCCCCTCCAGCCTCTTCTGCAGCCCTGAAACCAGCACGGGCTGCCAGGGCAACCGGGCATCAGCGAGACTGGGGGGGG